AGCGCCAGGTTTCTCATCGTGATGGTCTTCAATGATGTTCCCATGAATGTCAATTTCGCGCCGATATACCGCGACATCGTCTGTGTCGCCAAAGATTGCAGCGATTTCCTCCAGCGGAAGGCCTGTGCTATGTCAGCTTGGATCACCGTCACACTAGATGCCTTCTTCTTTACCTTTTGTATCAGGGAAGTAAAACCACATGACCACCCCTCCAATTGCCGAAGCGATAATGAATACGAGATAGAACTTCCATCCAACGTTCTTGAAAGCAGTAGGCGCGGCTTGCAGCCATACGATGTTAGTGAGAGAAATCATCGCAACTCCCAGAGCTATTCCTTTGGCGCGAAGATGCGTCGGGAACAGCTCACCGAGATATGAGAATTGCGTCCCTATCGCTATCAGTATGGATGTAATTACAAGTGCAGGCGTGATCCCTTGACTTACCATCAAGGCAGAAGCTGTAGAAGACTTGGTAGATGAAGAACATCGCCACGGCTGCCTGCAATGCACTCTCATTATCTGAGGGAACAAATTCCGCTACGAGTGCTGCTTCAACGACAAGAGTGAGCATGCAGCCCAGAACGCCAAAGGCCATGTACTTTTGCCGGGGGAAGAGGTCCACGGTCCAAATGGCCATGGCATTGAGCCCCAGGGCGAAGGTCAGCCATGCCGCTGGATACAGCAGCTGCTTGACAGGGCTAAATCCGAGATTTTTATACAGGGTAGGTCCGTAGTTGTTGACCACCAAAACCCCTGAACATTGGATGATAAATGTCGTGCCCATGGCTAAGAATGCACGTTTTCGATACGACGGCTTCCTCATGATGGTGAGCCACGAGGAGCCAAGCGTCCGGTCAATTGCAATCTGCTTCCGAATCTGGTAGAATTCCGCTCTTGCCTCCGTATTCTCCGGGTCCGACGGGTCTGAATGGAGCTTGTTCAGGATTGCTTGAGCCTCATCCATCCGGTCTTTCATGACGAGCCACCTTGGAGATTCAGGGATCCAATATAATCCACACAGAAGAATAAATGGCCAGGCGCACTGGAGTCCCAGTGGAGGTCTCCATGTGTTCTCGCCACCATCCCAGAAGTAGAAGCCGAGGCCAACCCAGCCTTGGACCGTGTAGCCGAAGATCAGGCAGACGGCGTGAATGTCGACCAAGCCGCCGCGGAAATGGACGGGGACGACTTCGTTCATCCAGATCTGAACACAATTAGGAGAGGCTGCTCGGAAGGGAAACTAGACTTACCGGAACAGCAGCGAGCGCCATGAACGCACCTGCTCCAGCGATGAATCGAAACACCAGGAACTCGGCGATATCCGTCGATCCGGCTAGAACGGCACCAGAGATCAAAGCAAGAAAGGCGCTAACGGCAATTCCCCATTTGCGACCCCATCTGTCGGATACCCAGGGAAGCATCAATGTTCCAATGACACCTCCTGCTTGGAAAAGGCCGTTGGTGGACGAGATCAGGTCTGTGCCATTGGAGCGAGTCTCTAGAGCGAAGTACTCGATGAAAGAGGGCTGCCCGAGAGTGGTACCAATGATCGATGCTGTGTAGCCATAGGTCATAGAACCGAAGCCCACGAATATAAGGATAAAGACAATGTACGCATTGATGCGTTTGCGTTTGCCGGCGGGCTCAGCCATGATGATAATACGGGAATTCTGAATGGCAAATCTAAGGGAAAAAAATCACAAATGTCAGAGACCTCGAGATCCAGAGCTCCATTGGCCATGGTTGCCAAGAAGTCCTTTATATGACCTGCATCCTCCCCTATCTTACGAGGGTTGATCGATCCGGACCGCCGGACATGCTAAAGCGATGCCCCTCTTGCATGAAACGACCAGTTCGGAATACAACTGTGAACCTCCATTATGCCGCGCCTTGAGATTGAACTATGGTGTAAATACCCCTTTCATTGGGCAGATACTGACAAGCTTTGACCAATTGTAGATCTGGGGCAATTCCCGTTGATAGGTATTAGCTCTTCCCCGCAATGATTCTCGGGTAATTATCATAACCTAGGAAGCAGGAAGAGGGACAA